CGTCAAGGGGCCGGGCCCTGGCCGATGGCGCGAGACCGGCGGATAGATTGGGGAGGCTAACAGGGTGACCCATGATAGCAGTTTTTGTCTGGGACACCGAATTAAGACTCAGTGCTTCAATTCAGGTGGTCATTTGTATAGAAATAACCACCTTGCAAATGACCACCTGAATTGAAGCACTGAGTCTTAATTCGGTGTCCCAGACAAAAACTAAGATGTAGTTAAGTTTAAAAATGTTGTCTATTAAAAAAGTATATATGTATCCACACCAGCTGGAAAGCTCAAGGGGATAAGTAGTAGCCCTTTGAATCTGACCCAGCCAGTGTGAGTTTAAGGCCTACCTTGAGCAGAAATCTGGAAAAAATTGGGAGGTATATTTAAAAGAATAGAAAACTTGCCTTATGGTGATACTTAGTTAACTAAGCGAAGCTTAAAGGATGACTTGAACTCCTCCGTAGCCCATCCCAAGCCTGTTTGAAAAAGACAGAAGGATGGTGTCAGGGTAGCAGCTGACCCTAAAACTTTGCCAAAGTCATTCATAACATGAGTCCTGTGAGCTAATTCAATATAGATGGGACGAAGGCAAGGAGGAGGAGAAAGGGTGATTTGATTACAATCTGTAGGTAACTACATGGCAAACAAATATTCAATAATGGACTCTTCAACCTAGCAGAGAAAGGTATAACAGTCCAATAGCTGGAAGTTGAAGTTAGACAAATTCAAACTGGAATGACAAAATTTTAACATTGAAAGTAATTGACCATTAAAACAATTTATGAAGGGTCATGGTGGATTCACCACCACTGAATTTTTAAATCCAGATTGGATTTTTTTTCTAAAAGATCTGCTCTGGGAATTAAGAGGTTAGACTAGATGATCATAATGGTCTCTTCTGGCCTATCAACTATATCATAGTTAACACCAAATACTAGAAAGTCAAGGAAGAAGTCCCAATCTCAATGCTGCCCAGATCTCTACTCAACCTCCCCCTACTGACTGAAAAAACACCTAGTTGTCAGGTGAGATTTCAGTTTTCCCAACTAAATTATACAATTTAGTATGGATTTTAGTTTTATGATTAGCTCACAACCTTCCTACCTCTACCAGAGAGAGGGAGTCTGTCTACAGATGAGGAAAATGTAAGCACAAGTTAAGGGCAGATTTTCGTAACCTCAGGATCAAAGCTCAAAAAGCCTCAGTAGAGGTCCCATGACAGCTGAGTGCTAGTGTCTTATAGATTGTGCAGCATAGAACATAGAGAATGGACAAACAGGAACACACTGCATTTTTCCACCTCTTCTTTTCATATTACTTGACTTGGGTATTGCCCTGAGGGAAGAGGAACAGGCAGTAACCAGCAGGAAGCACAAGGAGGTAGCCCCCCTTATATACTATATATATATACTAGCTCCCCTTTCCCTCAGTGAGTATGAGAGAGATTGGTCTCTACACCAGATACTTAGAAGAGAAGGAGTCTCCAACCTATTGCTAAAGAGCAGGTGTCTGAATAATATCAGGAAGATGAGTGGGTTTAGTACAGTGCGATATCCAATCCATATTAAAAGGGTGGATAAGGTGAACTGGATCCAATGCAATGGTACACTGTCTTTGGACCAAAGGTTGTGGTGGATTCTCTGTCACTGGAAATTTTTAAATCAAGATTGGACTTTTGGGG